ACCCTCCCCCCTCTCCCTCTCCATGGACTTGTTTTGCATTTGAATGCACTGTCTGGCTGGCTTTGGCTGTTTTCCATTTTTTCTTTGCATAACTGTGTGGGCCAAGTCCTGGCGACTGATGGTCTTGTGTGTTTGTGATCCTGCCTTGCGAGTGATGCGTGGCCACTCGTTGCTGCGGGCTTGTGCACTGGCTAATGCCCGTGCTACACTCATCCACCTTTCTGATATCGCCTTGCTTCTCTGATGTACTCTGGTGCATCCTTGATCCACATGGAATAGTTTGGATAGCACATTTTTGGCCCGTTCCATTGGGGTTGATATCCGTGCTCCAGTGCCCGACGTGCCCCGCACCCACCGCACCTTGGTGGTGTACGCCAAAAGTCCGTGACAAAGACGTGCGCTTTTGTTCTTGAAAAAGTTAACAATGGCGCATCGGGGCGCTGCTGGCCCTCCACCCGGGTACGACGTTGTGGTCCTGGCCCGCCTCGCAACGCAGCACTAGCACGTCCATTTTTTTTTTTTTTTGCAACTGTGTCAGAACAGCGGCTCGGGAGAACGTGTGAAATTCAGCTCGAATTCACTTGCATGACTTATAGCACTTCACTTCACACCGTGTAACAATGCCTCACCTCCTTTTCGCTCTCCATTCTGTTTTATCTTCCCTTAGCATCGGCTTTCCTGGAGCCTCGCGATCTGTACGTACTACCGCGCGTCGAGGCAACAACCTTGCCCCGAGGCTCCCATGAAAAGTCCAGTCCGTTTAGCAAGGATGGCCGTCTCACCTTTTTTGTTTTTCCGACCTGTCCCTTTTCAATGGCAGGTTTCGATGCCAGCGTCACCCATGAAGAATGGCCCGGCCCAGTGAGTGACTGTGTTGCTGCTAAAACATTTTCGATGTCTTGGCGCTCGGCCCATTGCATCTCACCCTGAACCTCTTCTTTCTTTCTTTCTTTTTTTTTCTTTTTTGCCTTTTCCTTGCAAACCTACAGGTCTCAATCGCGCTATGCTACCGCCAGTAGCAACGATGTCGGTTATGCGATGATGCCACCTTCTCCCATGCATCAGGTCGGACTCGAGTAGATGCAGTTGGCAACTGTCGCCCTATTGAGTCAATTCCACTTCCTCTCACCACGGAATCTTTTGCTTTCTCTTCAATCGGGTTCTCCATCTGTAATGACGTTAGGGAGCTACACCCTTTTCTGGCATTGTCGACCCTCGCGCTCGCCTGCCAAGCTCAAACTCCGAATATCAGGTTGGCCTTTACCAGCAGGCGTTCATGCGCTGAATTCAGAGGTGCACATACTTGCTTGTTACCATTGCCGGTGTCTTTGACCTTCCTCGCTCTCTCTCTTCTTGACTGGGGTGTAGGCACACTTGGATGGATTTCCCACCCTTTCACCTGCCAAACGTAAGCCTCTCCCTCTCGCCAATCAATTCAACCTGAGAATCAGTTTTTTTGACCTCATTGTTTTTGCTCTGCGTTGCTCACAGCCTCGGCCTCAAACAGCTCGGCACCGGCCTCTGCACCCAGCTTCAACAGCATGGTATCGCAATCTGCACCGTCATTCAGCATGCAGCGTGAAGAGTTCCCGTCGCTAGGCGGTGGCATGGCGCAACGCGCTATGGACTCGCCTCCACATTCAGCGCGCAGCCCACAAATGGCTGCATCGCCATCCTCGGCCAACGCCAAAGCGCCAGGCCCCGAAGGCCTGGGCAACACTGTCATGGGATCGGGGCCAGGGCCATCTGCAAGTAACCCACCCACGGATCCCTTCCAGGACGTCGATCCTGATGGCCACCACCGCTATGGCATGCACGGGCTTCTCGCCCTCATTCGCAACATGACACCGGATCTTCAAATGCTCTCGTTGGGGATGGATCTGACGGCGCTGGGTTTTGACGTGAATTCCCCTGATCCATTGTACATGCACTTCAAGTCGGCGCTGACCACGCCAGAATCCGAAAATATGCCAGAGCTACCGGCCTGTTACAATGTGCAGCAGGTCCCACCCTTGCAGCAACGCATCGCCAAGCTTCGGAGCCACACTCTCTTCTACATCTTCTATAGCATGCCCGGCGATGTCATGCAACTGGCTGCTGCCTCAATCTTGTACGTTGAGAGGGCCCGAGTTTCTGGGCCCGTGCGACGGGATGGTCTCTGCTATGCATCTGGTTTGGCTGCTCTCTGGATGATAGTTGTGATGGCTTTTTTGTCGCTAGCCCTGTACTTTCAACCTTTCTCTTTTTGTTGTCGCCGACTTGGTCTTTTCTGCGGAACCCGATCTTGACACTCTAAACATGACTCTTTTGTTGGCGGTAACAGGGGCACACGGCACTGGCGGTATCACAAAGAGCTCAAGCTGTGGCTCACTCGGGCACCGGATACGCTTACCACGTTGACCGACACCGGGGAATCAGGGACCTATCTTGTGTTTGATGTGGCGCAGTGGAAGGAGGTTGGTAGTTTTGTGCCTCGATCATTGTGTACCCGCATGGCTTGGCTCAGTGATTTTTGCGCATGTGCAGGTGGAACGGCAAATGACCATCTCTTATGATGAGCTAGAGGATCGGAGAAGCATGCCACCCGCGCCCAGCAACTCGACAAACTAGTCGATCTTCTCGTTGTGCCTTGCCATTTGTCGGCGGGTACTTGTTGTTTTTCTTCAAAGCGCGAAGGCAGGAACATTTGGGTTTTATTCCAAAACACACAAATGATGCATGCAATGAGCTACCACTCAAGTTTCGTGTCCCGTCTCAGCATTGCTCAGTATTGCTTGGTTGCTGTACTTTGGTCAGCATTGGTTGGATTGTGTGGCGGGGAAGAGATATTTGAGCGGGGAAAAAGGTTAAAAAAAAAACCATCCGATCGTCGATATGAGATTCCAGTGGGCCAATTGCTCAGATGACCTCAAGTGGGGGCTTATTGGCCGGCTTGTTGTACTTGGTGCGGTTCTCCTCGTACAGTTGCTTGAGGCCTTCGATGTACTTGTCCAGGTATTCTTGAATCATCTCCTTGCTTGGCTCCTCGACTTGAGGGCACGCAATGGGGCAGCCAACCACAACAGTGATGTCGCAGCGTTTGGGAAACACATTCTTGATGAAGGGAAGGGAGATACCGAAGATGTTCTGTGTTGCATTGTGAGGTTATTGGAAAGTAGCATTTGCGTGAGAAAAGCCACCACTGTGAAAACACGGAGCACGGGTCGACCGAACGCCCTTCTTCGATACCTGAAACTTGCGCTTGGCCCAGTCAACGGTAGGGTTGTCCAATCCGAAGAGGTCATAGGTGTTGTTTTCATTCTGAAGAGGCCGTCCATGGGCGAGCAAGAGACAATAGGAATAGTCAAAGAAAAACAAGGGAAAAGAAAGGGTTTGTGCCGCTCCAGCGTGAACATGAGCCGAAGATAAATCGCGTTGTCCAAGAGCAAAAGCGGGCAACTCACAAAGCTGAAGACAGGAACAAGGGAAGCACCCGATTGGAGGGCGAGCTTCACAAAACCACGGCGCTTCTTCAAATACACCACATCGCGATCGGGGTAGCAGTAGAGGGCCTCCGTCGCTGTGATGAGAAGGGTTGGAAGCCAGATGTGAGGGACAACAAAAAACTTGCCGCCAACAAGGCGTGGCTGAGGAACCTCATGCGCTGTCGTTGCACTCACCTCCACCGGGAACGAGGGCAAGGGAATATCCCTTGCTCAAGATGCGGCGCGCGCTGTAGCGTGCCGCGTCCACAACGCCTGTCCCAAACGAACCCCGGGAGGTTAGGATTGAGATACATGAGATGTGTCAAGAAAGAAAATGAAGTGCCCTGTGGTTGAATGGCGAGACTCAAACCAACGCACCACCAAAAAGCAGCATATCACGGTACAAGGGGGTATAAAAGCAAAAGGTAGCGGCCAGGGTACGATATTTAAGGTGGGGGAACAATTCCTAAGGTCAGTGATCCAAAAACCGATGCGTTGTGATGACGTTAGCTTCTTTTCTCTGTGGCCGACGTTAGGCACAGACACACAGGGACACACGCAGGCAGACGGAAAAACAAAAACGAGCAGATGTACCTTCATTTGCGAGCCCTCAGTCTCGTCGCCCAGCGCGACCATGCTGCCAAAGGGCAGCACCGAGTGGGGGTGGATACCGAGAATATAACTATGAAAGGGGAACATCCAGGACCGTGGCAGGTGTCAGTTGTGATTCGGTTGGAGGGAAGCCTCCCCCGCCGCTCCCCGGCTACAATCCACGTACGCTTTGTCCTTCTCCAAATCGACAGTCTTGACTAGCTTGAGGTTGAAGCGCTTGCGCAGCCAGCCCATGAGCCACCAACGACGCTACTCATTTCGCGGTGGAGGATCAAGCGGGGTGAGCAGCCGGCATGCCACTGCACCGCACACACGTATGTTGGGGCGTGTCGAGCACCGGCGCGGGGTGTTGCGTACGGCATAGAGGTGTTCACGGCCACCATCTTGCTCACAGAGGTCCGAGTACGGGATCAGGTACAACTAGACGCAGGAATGCATGCACGTTGAGTGGTTCGCAACTGCCGTGGTCGGAAGGACAGGGCAGCACGTACCACAAGGAGCGGGGTAAAGATGGGCAGGCCGATGAAGGAGTCGAGCGCGTAGAAGCTGGGGCCAGCCAAGATGCCCAGGAAGGCGACGCGCAGAAAGCGATCAAACCAGGCTGCACGACCAAGCGGCGAGGCGCCGGGCGCATGGAACGCAAAGGTGAAAGGTGAGATATGCATGGGCAAGAGGACAAGGCAGGGCACGGTGTGGAGCCCTCAAGGTGTGCCGGGGCCAGGGCCGGGGCCGGGTCTACCTGGTAGAGGGTTGCGATGGCAGCCACGCATTGCTGCTTTCTTCTCAACGATGTTGGCCAAGAGCGCCAAGAAGGCGATGCCCAGCAGCTATCGATTCAAGGCGCACATCGTGAGCTCAGTGCCAACCAAAACGGCCCTTGTGCACGTGATGCCACGGCGCTGGTGGCTGCTTGGCAGAGCCCGCAAACAAGCTCGAGGCCATGCCGCCCACAAACAGGCACCACGGCTTCAGCCAGCTCGGCCAACTTACCTGGACATGCCAGATCTTTAAGTTTGTGATAAAGTCCAACATGGTGTTGGAGGGGTCCCAGCCAAGATTCTCGCTCGGCGATGAGCCCGAGGTCAGCTTTGAATAATGCAACAAGGAAAGACAGAGAGAGAGAGAGAGAGAGAGAGAGAGAGAGAGAGAGAGAGAGAGAGAGAGAGAGAGAGAGAGAGAGAGAGAGAGAGAGAGAGAGAGAGAGAGAGAGAGAGAGAGAGAGAGAGAGAGAGAGAGAGAGAGAGAGAGAGAGAGAGAGACACAGAGAGAGAGAGAGAGATTTAGAGAGAGAGATTTAGAGAGAGAGAGAGAGATTTAGAGAGAGAGAGAGAGATTTAGAGAGAGAGAGAGAGAGAGAGAGAGAGAGAGAGAGAGAGAGAGAGAGAGAGAGAGAGAGAGAGAGAGAGAGAGAGAGAGAGATAGAGACTTTTAGACGTTTGAGTGAGAGAGAGACACACACTTTGCATTACACATGACATCCGATAAACTTTAAAGGGGTATTTTAACTTACATGTTATTTGAACCTGCTATGGGCTCCACCCCGGCTGCTTCTGCTATGCTATGGGCGCTCGCATTGACGACGTAGCCACACCGCCTTTGATTGAGGGGTGGATGTATGCAAAGACCAAAGCCGACAAGTATGTCGGCTTTGTCGTTGGCGTTTAAACCATAAACCAGTTCAAGTCCCATGTCGCACGACATCAAGCATGCAGGCAAAACAAAACCGATCTTCCTCTACGCGCCTTGTGCATGTGAAAGACCAATCAGGAGTCAAGACCTCTGGAAGGCCGCTTCCACTCGCTTCGGGCAACAAGGTCCATCAGGCCAACGATTCGGCACGACTCCAACTCACTCTCGGTGAGGGCTGCTCGACAACGCTCCAACAGCATTACCCCTCTTCTTCAAACCTTGATGCCGATTGGCGGTGCATAGCCCCATCACGAGCTACCCCCTGGAGCTGCACCAAGCCCTCCCAGTCAAGCCGCTGTTGGGCTCGGCTCACTACACCTATAAGTGGCCAGCTCGGTCATGTCTGAAGCATTTTCTACTTCAGCTTCAACAAGTCAAGTACAATACAACCATCTTTTCAAGCGTTTGCTTCTACATCAAAGACCTAGCTCAGCTTTAGCACCTCAACTGCATCATGTCGGCCGATCAAGCTTGCACCGGTAACCGGACCATGACCGTGACCCTGGCCTACTTTGAGAAGGAGGGCACTGGCATGCCTGCCACGTTCACTTGTGACCTGCCTGCACATACCACCAACGACTGGGTCCTCAAGCACCTCAACAGTACGTCTCAGCGCAGTCGGCGGTGGCTCCCCGGTGTTGGTCCACATGCTTGCACTTACAATCTTGTCACCGCCCTGCCACTTTTAGGTGATGACGGTCTGACCGTTACGGCCCATGGCACCGGACCCCAGGTTCTTTCCAAACAGCATGTTCGCCTTTACCGAGGCGAAAAGCGCATGGATGAGCTTCACGATGGTGATACTCTGGATCTTGTTATCGTTGATTAAGCCCCGAATCTGCCCGCTGTTGCCCAACGCAATCAGCTTGGCTCGTGCGATCTGACGAAAAAGTCTCCTGCACGACTCTTGCACACATTGCTAGGCATTAAGAACCAACATTGTATTGAATGTAAAATTGACTAGTGCGCTACGCGCACGCCTCACAAACGATATAGTTGTTCCGAAACTGGCCAGAACACCTACCTCATGAAGCGTGCCAAGAGAAAGAGAGAATAGTGAAACACAAAAATAACAACCAAAAATTACAAGAGGAAATGAAAGACAACAAGCTGGCAGGTCGTTTGCAAAGCAGACGCGGAAGGGTGCATCCGAGTTACAATAAACGTTTGACCCTGATGCGAGGGGTCAACGACATCAAGATTAAGAAGATAATGGTCAGAATGTGCTTGATGCATAAGAAGACCTCACTGCTCCTGGACATCGGCTGTCAGGCTATCGATGATGATGACGGCATCGTCCCGGGGGTCACGCACGATAAAATGCCCCTGCTCGTCGCGGCCGTCACACACCAACAAACCCCGCTCAAGCTGCATGCATTGTCAAGTGACACAAGTGGTCCCAAATACGCCAAGTCCGGTGAGCACCCATGTGTTATCGAGACGTCCAAGCCGATCGCGGCCTCAAGCTTAAGCCCTGCCCATCACGCTTGGTGCCGCAAGCAGCAGCCATTTCAAGAACAGCTGGAAGGAATGTTCACGCACCTGGTACAACACCCCACGCAGAACTGCTTTGTGTTCCTCTTGTTTGAGCGACTCACGCCGCTGCTTGATGGCGTCTTCGCTGCTGACTTTGGGTCGACGGGGCAGCTCACGCTTCTGATCAGCATCACCTGACGCCTCCTCCTCTGTTTCTGGCATAGCTTGCAGCGGGCCCTCGAGTGATGCACGAGCAGCCGAGTAGGCGCTAATGGTCTCCACTCGGTCTTGAGCCTCCTGGTCCAGCTGCATGGCACGTTCCTTCGCTCGCTGAATCAGCCGGGAGGCATTGGATCGTCGCTCATCCATGCTCTGAGAAGCAATCAGAACAGGATGAGTTACAAGGAGGAGCCAGAACAGACAGCGCACCTCCTCACATGGCAGCCTTGTGCCATACCGGGGGCACTGGCAGCGCGGCGTTCTTCTTATCAATGATTCCTTCTGCTGCCTGGCGAGCTTCGTCGCTTGGGAAGAGCATGCCTGCGAGCTCAGGATACCGGCTAGTAGTGGCCATGGTGATGGTGGTGGTCCAAAAGTGCGGTGCCCAGGATGGCAAGGCCGGGCGGTGCTGATGCTAAAGATGATGCTCAAGGCCAAAACGCAATTTGGGACTCTTGCCCAAAGGTTTCGGGGCACCACTGGCACCCGTGGAACAGCTGCCTACATTATCAAGACACAAGCAAGGTTGTCAATCTTCAAGGAGTTGTTCACCTCGTTCAAACCACCTTCGTGCCAGCTTCCCCTTGCAACTGCCACAAGTCACGCCTCCCCCATCCACCACCATTTCAAAAAGGCTGTGCTATGCCCCCACCCCCGCCCTGCGTCGCCTTTTGCCGCGCCCCCGCCCCCTCTTCGTCTCTCTAACGACTCACACACACACACACACACACTTGACTCCAAGTGTGTGTGAAACATCGAGAACACCTTTGGTATCTACACATACATATGTAAAATACTTATGTTTGCTTTCGAGATGAGCCGACTCAGCTTGAGCCGGAAAAGTATTTCAAAGGGGCATCTGGCATTGTCAGCATTTCAGTGCTGCGTGGTGGCGGTGGTCCGGCGCACCGGTAAATGGGGGAAAGGGATAGGAGCAGTGGGTGCCTCGGTTAGGAGACCGATCGCAGGTTGATGTGTGCAGGCGTCTCTGTATTGGCTGAGCATTGCCACTACCACCTCTTGCCTTGGCCTTTTGGACACGACCACGAGCATGGCGTGTTGGGATGACGCCATGTTTGTGGATACGCTGCGGTCAGACCACCCCGCCCGTTGCGCCATCTGTCAAGACATCATGTGCGACGCCATTCAGGTACAACCTCGCACGCTTACCGTTGCGGCTTTGTCGCTACGTCTCTTGCTGTCACCAAATGGTGTGAGATGCACCCGATTATCTCATGCCTGCTTGCAACGCACAGTGCCCGAATCAACATTGTTTTGGCAAAGAGTGCCTGGAGCGAGCGCTGCAGTACAACCCCGAGTGCCCCACGTGTCGCGAGCCATGTCCTCCCGAAAAGCTCAAGCCAGCCCTCTTTGCGCGTTCCGCAATTGCACGTATGAATGTGCGATGCCCGCGAAGGGACGAGGGCTGCCCTGATGAGTTTCAGCTCGCTGACCGTGAAGCGCACGAAATGAACTGCGGTTACGTCAAGGTATCGGCTGTCTGCCCGTGGCACAGAAAGGGCCGCGCCCACTCGCTTCTCGCAGCGTGCTGATCACCCGGGTCTGACACGATTGGCTTTAGGTTTCATGCCCCCATTCTGGATGCAAGCGATCTGTCCTGCGAAAGGATCTCAACACTCACGCACTCAATTGCGAGCACGCCACGGACCAATGTCACGTTTGTGATGAGGTCATGCCTCGATCCAAGGTTGCTGCGCACTCTTGCTTTCGTTCAGTTGTGACACGCATGGGTGCGCTCGAAGCACGACTGACAGCTCTGGAGCTGCGTTTGGAGTCGAATATCCAAGTGCAGTCCGACAAGACGGCGCCACAAACAGCGGATTTACCGCCGCAACAACAACGCGAAGGCCACACCTCCTCCGAAGACAGCTCAAGCGTTCGTTCTCTGGGCCCACGACGCGCAACAGCCTGGCAGAGGCCTGAATCAAGCCGGGGCTTGCAACGCAGCATCTCGGGCTCACAACCCAGCCCGGCAGTTGCTCAGGTGGCGCGCCCCGCATCAGTCACGTCGACGATAGATCTGGCTGCAGCCACGGGAGCCATGGCACCTTTGAGCAACACTCGTCCTTCGGAATTTGACATTGTCATTGCCGCCCCCGGCGTTTATAACGGCTGCTTAGCCGACGGCACCTGCGGCTATATTATGCGGGACGAACACGATCATCAGCCATTTTCCGTGAGCAACTTGCTCGGCCAGTTTTGGTATCGTGAGTCAGAGGTATGTGCGAAAACCTTGGCCTTGCCTTGGTGCGACACGAGCATCGTCATCTTCACAGTTGCGCCCGCTGGTGACTATACCCTTGTAGGTACAACTGTGGATGCACCCAGGTGATCGAATGACACCGGAACTCGTGCGCCGGGGAGTTCCCGTGCGCAACATTGCTGATGGCATGGATGGCCCTCCTCTGGGGTATGTCGCGCTTGCAGTGTCATGTGCGAGTGCTTACTCGTTTTTCTTCTTCTTCGTCTTCTTCATTTATCTCATGTATGACTTTGATGGGCCGCGGGGCCCCCTTGTCGATTCAGCTTCATTCTACGGCCGTGTGAATTTCACAATCGGTGCATCGTTCGCTTACTCGACGGGAATCGGGACGTGGAAATGAGCACTGATGATCTCTGTGCCGCAAACATGTCCTACCTGGCAGCCATTTGACAACGACAGCCCCCAGAGCAAACGGAGCGCAGCACAGGGACGGGATCGATCCGAGAAACTTGATCCTTGAGTGACAAGCCATTTGAGATTGACTGAATTAGATCCGATCACCAATTGATGTGTGACGCTGTGTAGATTGCTCTGAGGATGAGCTAGCTCTTTGTGGGAGTTGGGTTCAGTCGCTTCAATTAGCGACCTCGACAGTCATATCAAAAAGTACGCCAGGCCATGAAGCAACAGGCGCAGAAGAAATAAAGATAAGTCAGAAGGAGACGCACAGCGCCTTCAGCAGTTGGCAAGGGGGTCTGAAGAGAGACCTTTAATGATTTGTTGAGGCCAAAAGCGACAGTATCAACACCCGCCATGACACGACAAAATAAAAAAATGAAAAGAGGAAAAGAGAACTGAAAACAACAACAACAAAAAGACCATTTGATCATGGGCAAAGGGCTGTCACGGCAGGCAGGTATGAAAAGACGAACAAAGGCAACCGGATTGGTACAGCAGCCTTTTGTGACATCTCTCGGAGATCACCAGCATCGGCTGGAGGGTAAGCATCAACGGTCTTTAGCGGGACAGCAGGAGCTGCACCAGTTGTGAAGCATCAGATATGCTTTGGTTATCGTGCTTGGCCAGCAGCGAGAGGACGTCTTGATAAGAATTTGTGGCCTTGATGCCGCTTGCAGCAGCGGGCTCAGTTGCGAGAACAAGCTTGAGTAGTTCGAGGATTTGTTGGATGACACTGGCATCTTCGCCAACGGTGAAGCGAGGAAGTACTTCCAGCAGGGGCAAAGCAAAGTTGGCACGCGCCACGCCAAAGCGATGATGTTGCGCTATGCCATAGATCGTTGCAATCGCTTTGTCCAACTGGGGACGCTCTAGATCAGGGAAGGCTTTGGCCATGAACGGCAAGCAGCCTGTCACGACCAGCAGGTCCGGGGTGTGCTCAGCCACGGCCAACAAGACGACGGCCACTCGCGGGCGCGGCCCATCAAAACGCAGCAGTTGCTGTAGCGTGTTGAAGCAACCAATATCGTTCATCTCCAAAGCGCCTGCCACATGCGCGCCCAAGCCTGCCAGGCCCTCCAACGCCATCTCCTACAGCAACAAGGAGGAAGAGGAGTGAGTACCCTTCAATTTGGACTGGACTTGATGGTGGACAAGCGTGTGTTTCAGTTGCACACGTGTACCTGGACACGAGGAGCATCCCCACGCTTGCTGAGATCGTGCAACGTCACGACGGCATTCAAGTCCAAGGCCTCCTGCATAAACGCGCACCGAGTGCCATGGTCGGTCAGAGTCGGCAGTCGAGGGAAGGAGCAGAAGCATTGAGTCATTGGCACGCACCTGTACAAGCGCCTCGCCCTGGCTCAACAAGCCAATCAGCTCTTGGAGCTCAGCCACTTGTTCGTCGTCCTCCTGAGCATCATTCAGCCGTTCCATCACCTCATTCAATCTTATCATCTCTGGGTCTTGCGGAGCTATGCGATCGCGATGTCCCAGGTGAGCCGATTAAGGAAGGGTCAACATACAGAATATCATATTGCAAGCACAGGGTCAAGAGTGTGCGCCAAGATACGCACCGGAATTGGTGAGGGCATCACGGACAGTAAAAGCGCGGCGACGACCAATCATGCCGCGAAAAGAGGCCTGGAGCCTCAGTGCCGCTGCTTCTCGTCGCCGCCGCTCCTCTTCTTCTTGTCCATGCACCTGATGAGCCCGAGCCTTGATGGCTTGAATGCCCAGGGCAACCCGCCCTTCCACCTTATCCATGGTGGATGGCGGCGGCGAAGCTGTGCGAGGTCGTGAGGGAGGAGAGACGGGTGATGTTGGCAACGTCGATGATGGACGCCGGGTGTCATCTTCGCTCACATCATGCTCTTGTGTCACCTGCAAGTACCCGCCGTCAGGATCAGCCTCATCCATGTCCAAGTCAGAGTCAGCGTCAGAGTCAGCGTCAGAGTCCATCTGTTCCGTCAAATTCTGAGGCTTGATGTCGGTGGATCCATTTGGTTGGGAGCTTTGCTCTGCCGACATTGTCGACTCCTGATCCGAGGCCACTGCACTTGGCGATGCACCTGGCGTTTGGGATTCGGCTGCAGGCGACGACGGCAAGGGGCTTGGCAAAGCCTCCTGAGGTGTTGATGAACGCTCTGATACTTGCGCATCCGGAGCTCCCTGATCTGTAGGTTGACTGGCTGCGGCCGCGTCGGCAGACAGTTCGTGACTCGTGGCAGAGGCCTCCTGAGGGCTTGAAGATTGACCCTGGAAAACCTGCCCGGGTAGATTATCAGCTGCGTGATTCTCAGCTCCCATCTTGGAGCTCTCAGTAATGGTGCTCCCCTGAGCAACATCGGAAGCCTCGGGGACTTCAGGACTCTGGGTTTGGCTGTGGCTGTCTTCCGGCACCATGTTCATAACGGGCGGTGCTGAGCTGATGCGATGGGGCCGCGTGCCAGATTGTGTGCCAGACCGGCTGCGCATGGAAGCTGTGCGGACCAGCTCTTGCTGCATGGCAGCGCGCAATTTTTCCGCACGCTTCATGGCATCCGTGTCAAAGGCATACACCATGGAGCCTCGCTGGCTGAGGCGTCCAGCATCGAGCAAGGCACCGACATCATCGGTCGTGTAAGGGCCATCACCCGAGTCTGTCAAAACAGAACCACGACGGGAGGCGGCAGCTGAGCCCTGTGGTGGAGGCACAGGCACAAGCATGAGAGATCCGTCAAGCGCGATAGACAAAGAGCACAGCTCGGGAGTCTGAGGCCAAGAATTGCAAGCAGGGTCAGGCGTGGGCGCAGCATTGACTGGCCCCACCACACGCACTGGGTATCGTACCAGGTCAAAGAGACGATCAAGGAGGTCGTCCAGATCCGGGCCTGACAGAGCAGCCAAATTGTCCGTAGAAGAGGCCAGGTTGGTATCCGAGGTCAAAACAGTGTCGGTTGTGCTTCCCAGGGGCTGGATGGGGCCAGCAATACCCGCAGCGATCGGGGAGGGGGCGGACGATGCCCCTGTATGTGTCGAGGTCAGGTCCGAGTCTGAGGCGGATGGTGAACGGTTCACGACATCGATGGTCGAGTCCTAAACCAAGTTGTAAGGGCATAGTGGGAAGGCAGGATTGTAAGTGCGGTTGCTCAAGATGGGCGTATGTCCGGGTTGGATGAGGGAGAGACAAGGCAGGCTATAGACATACATCAGCAGGCATGCCCAGGACAAGGGTGCTGTTGGTGCGAGGTCGGATGGGCGTGGTCTCGAGTGCAGCCTCTTCATCAAAGCCGTAACCGCCGTCGGAAGTAATGGAAACGGTGGAGCGCCTTTTGCTGGCCATGATGGTCTGCTCTGCGAGCGCTGGGTCGAGATCTCCAAATCCATAAACGGAGATTTGGGATTCTGTGTCGAAAAAAAGAGGGGTACCAGAAACACGCAAGGGTGAGGAATCTGATGCCTTTCAAGAGAGGAAATAGGCAGCCTTGGCCGGATCATCACAAACTTGGTCGAGCACGAGAGAGGATGCGCCGCTCCGAGGGCCACATGTGGCCCTCGGGTAGGTCTTCGCCGTATACAGCGGCCAGGGCGATGTCATCTATCTCGTAAGACGGGTAGAATGCCTGGAGCGATGGCGGTCCAAAGTACACATCAAACAAAGGAATGGGACCGTGGGATGGTGATGGACGGCCACAGTTGGAGCACGGCAACACGATTGGAATCAGAGGGGTGGGGGAAATGGCGGACCTCAGTGTCAGATGAGCTCAGGTCGAGGCCCTCAAGCATGAGCGTCAGATGACTGGGGGTATAGAAGGTTTGAGATTCGGCCAAGTGTGGTACGTTTTTAGCCTGGACGGTCAGTTTGCGTTGGGACGCAGAATAAGATGCCCATCACCAACGGGAGCAAAGACGATCGCCTTGGCAATGAAACGAGCCTTACTCGAGCGTTGCCGTATTGGCGAAGATCCAAGTAGGCGGCCTCTTCAAGTTGGGCATCCTCGATCCGACTTAGTTGGGTGTAGAGCTCAGTGCGAATGCACAGGGGTAGGCTGAGTTCGCTAACCACGGCAGTCTCTTTGACTTGCTCAAAAGCATCGTCGGGATTGCTGGGGCTGAAGGTGCGAGTGGTTTGGTGAGATGGTGAGATGGTGTGATGCCAAGACGCGCCGAACTTTGGAGAAGAGTTGCCGTTCCGAGCGTTGATGGAAGATCAACTTTTGCGCCCAGGTGCTCAAGCTTCTGGTGGGCAACAAGTCGGAGTGCCGAGACGTACTGTTGAGGAAAGGCGGGCATTTCTTGAAGAGAAGCGAGGGAAATCCGGCGTGTAAAGTTGAAGTGGGTACTGGTGAGTTCGTCGGCAGAGGGTCGCCGATAGAGGCTGGGTTCGACGCCCGTTGTGCCAATGTCTTCATATTGGGTAGGCCGGCCCGAACTTCGACGGCGTTTCTTTGAATCGCGGCGACTAGGGCGTGCTCGTCGGGACCAGCGCATTGCTCTCACGCTGCGATACTGAGGGGGGGGGGACACCAAGTAGGAACGGTGACTCGGCAGTGTTGCTTTTGTAGGTTGTTGCAAGGAACCACAGGGCGGGAGAATGCGCACAACTGACCTCAAACTTTGGGCGCTTGGCAAACTGATTGCTTCCAGTGGAAGAGGGGCGAGTAGCCGCTGCATCCTGGCGCCGAAGGCACAACATGGTACTGGACCCAGCACAGACTCAACAGTCTGGTTCAGACGGGTTTGGCGGCCAGAGAACAACAGCGGTAGCCAAGAAGGCAAAAACGACACAAAGGCTATCAGAGACTCTGCCGGCGTCTCTTCTCTTCAACAGGGAGGGTCAGGTCCTGAGCGCGCCATGTCCCAGGCAACCGCACGAGAGAGAGAAAGGGGGGAGAGAGAGAGAGAATGGCGAGCAGGCCGATGTTTGGCTGAGGCGTGGGGCTGCGCGGGACTGTAAAGTCAGCCACGGCGGCACGGAGCACATGTGATCAAAGCTTTAGCTGTCCAGTCGTGCTGCAGCGCGCTTGCAGGAAGATCGACACGCACAGATGGCGGATGCCAACGTGCTTCCTATACAGCAGACACAGCGCACCCACCTGCGGCGAAGAAGGAGAGAACGGAGAGATGTAAAAATGCAAGAGCCGCAAGAACGGCCTCCGAACGTCGCAAGTCAAGCCGCGAGGGACCAAGAGCCGCGAGGGACCAAGAGCCAAGCTGTGCCACGGGCGACGATGGCGATGACGACCGATGGTGTTGGGGGGGGGGGCGTTGAGGAAAATGATTTTGACTCATTTGCTACGATATCCTCATCTGTATCTACTTAAACTATCGTTGTTACGATATTGAAATCTTCATTATCTCAATGTCAGACGTAGTTATCCGTGACAAAAGCTGTGTGGAAAGCTTGACCGCCCCTTTTGGCCGTCATCGCCGTCAGTAAAATTAACTTGGCTTCTCTATTATGACATCCGCCATCTCGCATTTTTTTTCGCTCTCACTGATTTGAGGAAAAAAAAAAAAAAAAAAATGGCAGAGGGGGTGCCGAGCGTGGCGCTCGAGGCTTGGTCAACGGCTCGGATCAAGCAATATGCCCCGCAAGGTACCCGGGAAATGGCTTCGTAAGTGACCGGTATTGAGCGCTTGAGAGGTGGAGAGAGTGTGTGCTGACCTTCCCATGTTACATGCACTTAGAGCCCCGAGCGCGCAAGAGGTGATGCTCGGGCGAATCGGGGAGATGGACTTTGAAGCTCTAGCGGACGGCAAACGCACCGATGAAGCGGTCTTCATCGACACGACCACAGCTCCGAACAAATCTGACGAGGATGCCATGGATGATGCGCCCGACGAGGAGGCGGAGGAGAAGGAGGAGCTCAGTTTGGAAACACAACGCCAACGTCTCTCCGAGGGCATTCGGTATGTGGCTCGAACCAGAACCAGCTTGGGCGTCAGCTGCATTCACCATGGGTCAATGCTTCATTTTAGGGACGCAACATATCACGTCAGCGTCATTGAGAATGCCATCAACATTGCTACCAAGACAACCTACATGGACACGCGGGTGGTCAAACAGAAGCCACTGCGACCCAACCCGGTGTTGCAAAAGGCCGCCAAAAGTGCGGCCCTGACAGAAGCCCAACAGAATCTACGCACGGCCGCTCAGCGTCTGCGCGACCGACAGCGCCGCCATCACGATGCAACTACCATCCTCAGGCAGCTCTCGGTGCAGGTCTCCTGCCGCTTGATCAGCCCCGGCATCGTGGGTGTGCGCCTGACCCTGCCCGCCTACGGAGTTCGCGTGGAGAACGACGAGCCCGAAGCCCGACTCTTGTACGGCCTGGCTCGACCCGATGGCCTAGATGAGGCCGCTCCGATGGCCCTGGTGCTTCCCACTCGTCTGCGGGCGGGTGCCTACCTGGTGGTGGCCCACGGCGCAACCCTGCCCGCCAACTGGGACAAGGGCCACGGTGTGGATGCAGCCAGCCTATCGGGCTTTGGGGCGGAGCCCTTGCCCGTCTACTCGGCCGCCGAGGCAGCCCAACATCTGCGCCGCGCACGTCATACACTCTTCCTGCAACGTACTCTGACTGACCTCCAGCGCGAGGCTGCCACCTACGACGACGGTGCCGAGTGCCACTACAGTGGCAAGCAAGATGGCTTGATGCTGCAACGGCCCGGCTTTGTCTTTGCCTGTCAACTGCACCTGGGCGAGCTACGTGGTGGCACCTCCAATGCCAATACAACATCGCTCCCGACTCCCACAGCGCCATTCTTGACCTGGAATACGGCGCAGTTCTTGCTGGCAACCCTTTATCATGAGCGTGCTCGCACTCGCCTGGCCGATGACATGGTCTCTTTGGCTCGGGCAAATCGGGTGCCCAATTTCTTGCCCACCCCTCTGTATTGCATCCTACGGTCACACATGCTGACCAAGGCCCGCAACTCACTCGAGACCTGGATGCTGGGTATGATTCTTGCTGCGCCTCGCTTGCATTGCCTGGCGCCTTCTCCTCCACCTCTGTCTCTAGCTCTAGCTCGATCAATGACCCCTAGATCACTCGTGGTGTGACTGGTCATGCTTAGACTTGGATACAAAACTGAAGGCTATTCTGCACAGCAATCTGCACATCCGCCTAGTTTTCAAACGTGACAATCCACAGGCCGGGACCGTGGAATTTGAAGTAGCGCTTCTCGTCGATGATATCGATCTTTGCAGGTCATTCCATGCCTCTGCAGCTGGGTCATGGCCGTAGGCCGAGTTGAGATTGATCCTTTTCGTGCCTGTGCTTGCCTTTGCTGACCTCATCGCCACATTAACCTGCCCACTGCTTTGTTTTGCAGCTGGCCTTGTGTGCTGGCAGGCCACCATCGAGGAGCTGGTGTCACGCTCACCGTAGCTCAGCGAAAGCAGTCCTTCCCTGAAGTGCGCGCAGCATGGGCCTTTATTGCCGAAGTGGTAGGCGCCCGACCTTGCCGTCGTGCATCAAGCCGGGTGTCGGCTGTACCTCACCGTACCATGAACTTGATTATTCGGACAACCTCAGATTCGCGATCGCTTGTTGATACATATCCGAGATCTTGCTCGTCCTGACCTGCAAGCGCACCTGCTGCCCGATGGCGTGTTCTTAATTTCCGCGACTAGGTTAGTAAGGGCGCAGTGTGTATGTTCGTGTGTCCGTGTGACCGTGTGTGTGTGTGTCCGTGTGACCGTGTGTGTGTGTGTGTGTGTGTGTGTGTCCGTGTGACCGTGTGTGTGTGTGTGTGTGTGTGTGTGTGTGTGTGTGTGTGTGTGTGTGTGTGTATGCCCGTGTGCCGATGTCTTCTGGACGCGGCCCCTTGGGTAACCGCTGGACAGAGCATTGGTGCCGAGCTGTGGTGCAAGCCGAACTGATTGCTGCACCCGCTTCATCAGACTGGCTCATCCTGGCCTTGCACAATACTTCAGCACGGCTGTTTTCAAGTTGAGTGTGACCCCCACGCTGGTCGTGGGTCTCTACCCCATCGAGGAGACCACGCTGATTGATGACGTTACCGTGCCGGTATTTGACAAGCGGGCCAAGGTCGCCTGGTCAGAGGTGCCAGGAGCTTCACTAGGCCAACGCCTCCGCGAGCTGCTCCCCAGCAGCCCATCTGCCTTGGCGCCAGACGCTCCCGCGCTAGGTGCAATCGCGAGTCATGCTGGCCCCCAAAAAGCAGTGGACGCGCCTGCAACAGGAAATGGGGAAGCTTCATCGCTCCCACCACCCGTGGAGACACAAGTCCGCGATGGTGTGGTGGTCCCAGATGGGGCCAACCACACCACAGCACCAGATGCCGGCAAGCCGGAACAAGGCACATCCGCTCCAGAATCAAGCTCAACAATGGGCGAGGCGCCTCCCATCAAGTCCGAGGCGTTGGCGCAAGCTGTTGCATCAGAGGCAACGAATGCTCCAGCTGCCACAACCGCCGCCTCGACTGAGGCATCGGTTGCTGTCCACACTGTCGGTACCAATGGTGTCAATGATGCGACGGATTCCGCCTCTGTGGCGAATGCGACTTCGACCGCACCATCGGCCACCGCCATGGACGTAACCACGGAGGATACGGCAGCCCCTGTTGCAGATGCGGCTGTGCCATCAACGTTGCATCCTTCTCAGAGCACGTCTCAGAGCACGCCAGAAGCCGTGACAGGCGCACCAGCAGTAGCAACAGCAGTAACAACAACAGAGACTGCCCCGGTGGCTTCAACGACCTCTCCCGCAACTGGATCTGGCGCTGGGCCTCAACCTGAAGCCTCTGGTAAGGCGGCGCCAGAGTCCACCGACGCAACAAACTAATGTGTCCCGAGAACTTTGAATTGCGATGGCACGTAAACGGAAAACCCCCCTTTCTGCTTTGCCCGTGGCCACACACACACACACACACACACACACACACACACACACACACACACACACACACACACAGATGCACCTGTGTGGTTCATTCGCACGTAGCTATTGTATTCTCTTGGTTTGGTGTAGAGTAATCAATTTTTAACACGACTCGATTAAGATGAATTGGCATAAAAATACATGTATGACTTTATTGCGTGCTGCAAAAAAACGATGATGACCTGCTGGCTTTCTGATGGCAGTGTGTTTGGGCTTGATCCCATCAAGAACACGATCGGGGGCAGGGAACAAGATGTGCTATCGGCAACAGTCAACGTATAGGCAGCTGGGCGTGTCCATGTGCGTGCCTTGCTGGTCGGCGGCGGGGGGCGGCAGGCTGGCCCAAAGAAGGGGCTTCGAGGGGCGCCGTAGGTTGGGCCGCTCTTCTCCAATGGTGGTGTGCCCGTGGAACATGAAAAGATGGCCATTGTTGCACGCCTGCAAGCAGACGCTGCAGGGCTGGGTGACATGGTAGCCAATGACATTGCCACTGTAGGAATGGGGGGGGGGGGAGCATACCGGTCGCCGTGTCAGATGGCAAGCAATTTTATGCAGTCTGTGAGTGTGCACTTGCACTAGTAATAAATGAAATGGCCACGCTCGGGTCCTTTGCTGAGGCAAGGGCGGATTGCTGCACGTACCACCCGTCACAGGCCATGTCGCGAATGCGACAATGGCAAGCCTCTGTGCGAACCTCTGCGTTGACAAGGATGCAGCGCTTGGGAAGGGTATCCGTCGAGAAGAGCACCGTTTGTACATCAGCCAGTAAAACGGCTTTCATGGCGCGCCCGCACACGGGTGTGCGACAGAACCGGCAGGCTAATTCGTGCACCGGCTTGTGCCGGAATGGCTCGGCAAGAGGTTGTTGGGCCATGATGCACCGGGCCAATTTGGAGAGCAACACGGTCAAAGTAGGGTGCAGGGTGTTATGCGCGAGGTAAAATGGCAGCCTGCGGCCCTGCAGAGAGATCAAGGCACGCTCAAAGTCTCGCACGGCATGCTGGCTATGCGTGTCCGCTGATCTTCCTTAGGTTGGGTCGATCCAAGTGCGGGCATGCCGTCCCCTCTTCCCGGCACAAACGAACGACTGGCATTGCCTAAGATGTATCCCGGCTTTGCCCGACTTTGACCTTGTGAGCAGGCAGGGCGGGGCTCAGCAGCCTGTTCACTGCACGGCCAGCACCTGAACCGAGCGGGCGGCGGAATGACGGCGCCATGAACGCATCGTGCATGTCCGCAGTCAAGTTTTGTCAGCACTTGTCTGACAGTTTACGATGATCTGACATTTGTATCTGACAATGAGTTCGATACTTTGTCTGACAAATGGACTCGAAACCCAAAAGTGTTGTGGTTTGGGGAGAGGCACCAGGAGAAGCTGTATAGCTTTGATCACCATAAAAGTAAACTAAGCTATACAAAAACAAGATGTAGTTTGATTTGGAAACCTCGCAACTACAACAACCCGGACTAACTTTCATCTCTGCTTTCATCCACCCTCTACCCCTCTCTCTGAATCTCCTACTCTCTTTCCTCTGCCTCTCTCCGCCTTTTCGCCACCGCTCTCAACGCTTTCAACTTCCTTCTCACCCTCTCCCTCCCTTGACTTGGCGCGAAATTTTGAAAACGGACTTTTGGTTGTGCATCGCCAATTTTTGCGCGCGTGTGTGTGTGTGTGTTTGCGCGCTGGGCCGTCTCTCTCTCTGTCTGTCTGTTCGTCTCTCTCTCTTTCTCTTCTTCTACTCTCTCTACTCTCTCTCTCAACTCTCTCTCTGTCTCTCTCTGTCTCTCTCTGTCTCTGTCTCTGTCCCTCTCTCTCCCTCTCGCAAATACGCCTTTGGGCACGAGGGAGGTCAGTCAGTCAGTGAGTGATGCGGATCGTGGTCGTGTAAGCGGACCCCACAACACCCCACCCTCTTCTACCGCGGTTTGTCTTGCCTTTGGGACCCCCCGATCTCTTCTCTCCCTCGGTCAGTCGAAATACCTGCTCGGTTTGTTGTGCCGACCAATTTTCGCTCCT